GTTTTACTGTACATTGGTAACTTCCAAATTACATATATCTTTCCATAAATAAGTCAGCTCCATAAAAGAAGTTCTTCCAAAGAACATCCCTTTTCATAATCATTAATGTAGACAATCATTAGAGTGTGCGAGTGTGAAATAATTCTCAACTAATTAGCGCCTAATAAGATTTAGTTATCAACTGAGAATTCATTGAGGTATAAACAAAGACAATTTCCTTTTATGGCATTGTGTTCATTCTTAGTTAGTTGATAACTAAATTTTATTAGTTGTTGATTGTTAAGAATTGTTTCACGCTTTTGTGGTGTGCACTCTACAGCTACAAATTCAGCTGATTCCCAATATGTTTCCTTCAAATGGTCTGTACATGTAAGCTTAATGTAATTATAAATAAACCCCATTTCTGAAAATTGGCCCTTCAAAAACCTGTCTTTCCTTATGTAAGACTTCTTCCAAATAGTATTGTGTTTTTAAATAACAAATTGCTGTTTGTCTGACATTTATATAAAATAGTGGGAAGTAGCGTTTAACTAGTGTGAGCTGCGTCGGTGTTTCTAAAGAAACAGTTGTGTAAAAAGATAAATTTAACACCGTAAAAAAAATATGTGAAATAACTTACTGACGTTTCGGACGTTAATCCTTCGTCGGAGTAAAGAGATGGAACTAGGTGTAGTGTGAGTTTATATAGTAAGAGTAGCAAAGAAGATAGACCAATTCTCTACTTGCACATGACCCATAATACCTTCTGATTTTGGGGGGTAGGTTTTGTGATGCAAATAAAATCAATTGTTATTCAAATATAAATGATTTCAATAACAATAACTACCCCCCAAAATCAGAAGGTATTATGGGTATGCGCAAGTAGAGAATAGGAGCAAAGTAGGCAAGGTAACGAAAAAAAAAGCAAAGGAAGTGTTAGACAAAAGAACAATAAAGGTGCTAAAAAGGGAACAAAGGATATAAAACTTATCTGAAAACAAAGCGCTCATTCAACCCATGGGGATTATAGAGTAAGTGCCCAATTGGTGAATGAGCTGCAGTAAGTTATATCACATACTTTTTTTACACAAATTTATCTTTTTACACAACTGTGACATTTATATAGACAAATTGTTTGTTTACAATCCAGTTTATGAGCCTAAGCATTTCATCATTGTTTTAACCTAACTAACATCAAGTCAGCACTGAATATTGAGGATTTCTGGGTTCCAATGGATGTTGTGCGATGTATCACAGACGTGCACTGAAACAAAACATTTTCGGGCAAGAATTGATGTCAGGAGAAGAAGAATACTGCAAGAAAACCCAAACTTTTATTCTTTCACTGGTGTATTTCATTCTAAGCTCACCAGTTGTCGTACTCTGATGCAAAGCCATGATCATCTATAAAGATGGGTGAAGAAGAATCACTTCCCTTTATATACAATTTTTTCCATCCTCACAACTCAAATTTTCTCATCAAAGTTTGAATAAAATGGAGTCTCATTTGTTCTTTAAACTTTGTGTACCAACTAATTATGATTCTCCGTCTGTTTGCCAGTTCAGCATCACTCATATGTTTCTCCCTTTCCAAAATCCTCGGCAATTCTGTCCAGTTCTTCACAAAGATAAAAGGTGCCTTGTATTTCTTGAGTAAATAAAGTGGGTTATCTTTACTACATTGGCCTGGAGTTGCAACATCTTCAATGACTGGAACAGAGCCATAAGAACAAGCTTCATATATTCTATAACATTCTGAATTAATGCCAACAGGGCAAAGCGTTAGGTCACTGTTAGCAAGGGCATAATGATATTGTCTTGATGTTTCCTTGTTTTCGTTTGGCAACCAG